CATTTTGTGAGTGACTGTTGTGTGCAATTGGTGAGAAACGATAAACACTGAGTCAAAATGGCCACCGTAGAGAAATTGAAGAAAACCAGAGGTATTCAGCGTACAGCTTTTACAAAAACTTATAATGCACTGAAGGCCGAGATGGAAGTTACCGTGCCTAGCGCTACATCAGTGGAAGCATTTTTAAACGCGTTAACTGAACGAGCCAAGGAAATGAACTTACTCGATAAAGAAATAATCAGTGCATTGATAGACGAGAAAACCAGTGATGAAGATATCACAAGAGAAATGGAAAGTGCCGATGAATACAAAGTGAGATTCGAAACAACAAAAGTCGTGTGCCTGCGTTACATTTCTACAGCTCAGCAACAGCTTCAGAGGGTAACCGCCCATTCCCCCGAATCCATTCCCCCGAATACCATTCCCCGAATAAAGAAATCCCCGAAGACGCTTTCCCCGATGCCATTTCCCCGAATATACATTTCCCCGAATATACATTTTCCCGAATATACATTTTCCCGAATATACATTTCCCCGAATATATATTTCCCCGAATACACAACCCTGCATGTAGCATATATCGATATATCGATCGAGCACTTTTTTTCTCAATTGTTAATGAACAATTAGCCTCTAAATTTCGTCTAGATTTAGTTCCTCCAACTTTCCTCTAAATTTTGCTTTTAAAATATGGACTTTAAATTAATCAGTCTTAGAAGATTAGATATCAGCGGATATCTTCATTATAAATCGTACGATCGCAAGGCACGATATCCCGTAGAGCAGAGGAATCAGTACGATTCCGTTATAAGGAACGAGCCAACTACGAATAACGCTAGTGAGGGGTGGGGTGGAGATTGGGTTGATTGAATTGAGCAACCAGCGAAGGATAAAATCAGCCCCAAAGAAGAAGTGGGTTGATGCACAACATGGTTTAAAAGCTTTGGTCGAAACTTACGACACGTATGGTTTACCACGTGTGCTCGATTACTCGCACTTGATACGCGAAAACATTTCTCTAGATTAATTAATTATGTATTGTAATATAAAACAATAAAATAAAATTAAAAAAAGAAAAAAATTCGGGGGTTGTGCTTTCGGGGAAAAAGACGTCGGGGAAATTATCATTCGGGGAAATGGCATTCGGGGAAATGGATTCGGGGAAATGACCGGGAATCCCCTGCTAGAGCTCAGTCCCTGCTGGATAATACAAACGATGATGTATCAGCCATAGTTTCCTGGGCTGACAAAAACGGAATGAGGCTGAATACAAGCAAGACAAATCCCATGCTTTGCGGTAGCCAGTTTTATGCAAACGCATGGAAGGACTCCACACCTCCACTGTTTGCCCAGGGTGCGCAGTTGCAGACGAAGCATGAGTTGACTGCTCTCGGTCTAAGACTCACACCATCTCTGTCTTGGGACCTCAAGCCAGTCGAGTCTGTACTTCAGTGCACTACACTCTGTACTCCTTAACCCGTTAACGCCCAGACGGACAGAATTTTTTTCTCTATTGTAGTCTGCAATTAAATCATCTTATTGGAGCGAGAAAAATTCTTGAATACTCATTTTTTATTTAAAATTTAATGTACTTTTTGAATATGGGTTCATAATTAACCTCTGATAAATATTAAAAAAGTTATAAACAATTTATTGCGAAAAAACACGATTTTGAATTTTGGAAAAAAACTTTAATCCAAATTTTTTTTATGAAAGAGACTTAAACTGTGGCCAATAATACCTAAAATTGTGGAATAATAAATTAAAGTTTAATGTACCGTAGGTGGAATTGAATATTCAATAACTTTTTTTTCTAATGTTGTTCGTTTTCGAACAAAAAAGTACATTTTTGGAACATTTTTTAGTAATTTTTTTTTGGAAAAGTGTATTTTTTGGAGTCTACCATTTTGAATATTCAAATTCCACCTACATTACTTCAAGCTGTAGGTTATTGTTCCACAATTTTGGGTATTATTGGCTACAGTTTAAGTCTCTTTCATAAAAAAAATTTAATCAAATTTTTTTCCAAGATTCAAAATCGTGTTTTTTTGCATTTAATTGTTTATAACTTTTTTAATGTTTATCAGAGGTTACTTATAAACCCATATTCAAAAAGTACATTAAATTTTACATAGAAAATGAGTACTCAGGAATTTTTCTCGCTCCGATAAGATAATTTAATTGCAGACTACAATAGAGAAAAAAATTCTGTCTGTTTGAGCGTTACCGGGTTAAGATATTACAGACATGCATTGTCAAGACCCCTTCGTAAGCGACCGGTCGAATCAATGATCTGCGACTTTCGACTACGGCTCATCAGTCTTCTACGACCTGAACAAGGAACAGTCCCTCCAACTACACAGATTTCATAACGCGTACGTTAGGTTTGTGTATGGAATGATACCGCACAGAGCTCATGTCACCCCGTATCGTTTGGCACTGGGTTGGCTTTCGGCACAAAGGCGGCGTGACTATAACATCATAGTCCTGGCGATAAACATAATATCACGTCAGTGGCCTAAACCCTTGTCCAGCCTGTTGCCGTTTCGAGCAAATCGCCTCCTACATCTTACAACACGCAGGCAACCTCCATGTGAGCTTACTCATAAAGCTGTTCGCACTCAAGCTCTGCATAACTCATTCGCTTATACAGCTACGCGATTGATAAAAAATCTACCCTTCATAGAAGACCCTTGACATCCACCACGATCATTTAAAGAAATGATTCGAGCTCATTTATTCCATCTAGATGTCCAGAACTGGAAGAGACGGTGTTCAAATGAAAATCTGGAGTACGAACCTTTACCCCTCATAAACTGTCTACTTTCCATATAATATCCTTTCTCAGCGATAAAATGGAATAAACAGACGGCACTGGAAAATGTCAATTTAAAACTGTCTAGTCGGAAAGCTTGTATTTTATATTTTCTACTCCAATGTATATATTTACACTCGGCAACAAAATTATTGCAACAAAAAGTTCATCGAAATTTCGTCGATTTTCAAATGCTTCTATCTTGGGCTAGATTTATCGTATCGACACGGTTTTTTTCAATTTCTTGGAAATTTTGTCCTCTTTAAATCCATATAAATTAAGATAAGATTCGAGTTAATGTAGAGTTACCAGTAGTATTTGAGCGTGACACTAAAAATTACTGAAAAAAATGACTGTTTGAACGTGTACCAGTACCACAGTAATTTNTCTAAATTTCGCTTTTAAAATATGGACTTTAAATTAATCAGTCTTAGAAGATTAGATATCAGCGGATATCTTCATTATAAATCGTACGATCGCAAGGCACGATATCCCGTAGAGCAGAGGAATCAGTACGATTCCGTTATAAGGAACGAGCCAACTACGAATAACGCTAGTGAGGGGTGGGGTGGAGATTGGGTTGATTGAATTGAGCAACCAGCGAAGGATAAAATCAGCCCCAAAGAAGAAGTGGGTTGATGCACAACATGGTTTAAAAGCTTTGGTCGAAACTTACGACACGTATGGTTTACCACGTGTGCTCGATTACTCGCACTTGATACGCGAAAACATTTCTCTAGATTAATTAATTATGTATTGTAATATAAAACAATAAAATAAAAAAAAAAAAAAAAATTCGGGGGTTGTGCTTTCGGGGAAAAAGACGTCGGGGAAATTATCATTCGGGGAAATGGCATTCGGGGAAATGGATTCGGGGAAATGACCGGGAATCGCTTCAGAGAAATTCCTCTCCTACCCAGAACACGAGCAGCCAAAATCAGGCAGTCAAATTTAAGTTGCCGAAAATCGAATTGAAAAAATTCAACGGCGATCCAAGAGAGTGGCTACAGTTTTGGAGCATTTTCAAGAAAATTCATGAAGATACGAAGCTGTCTAACGAGGAAAAATTCCAGTATCTACTCCAGAGCATGGTAGAAGGTTCGCGAGCCAGCGAAGTAGCAAATAGCTACCCGCCCTCCTTCGAGAATTATGAGAAAGTGGTCGACAGTTTGAAGACGCGTTTTGAACGTGACGATCTGTGCAATGCACGACGTGACAATTTATGTGCGCGAATTACTAAAGTTGGTCATAAATAAGTCACAGGACTCGTTAGTGACAATATACGATAAGCTGGAGACACAATTACGCGCGCTCGAGACGCTCGGAGTGACAACAGCTATGTGTGCAGCAATGTTGTTCCCACTTGTAGAGTCTGCGATGCCGGTTGATATACTTCGAGTGTGGCAACGTAGAAGCGACAACGGCAACAATACGCAAGAAAGATTAGAAAGTCTAATGAAGTTTCTCGGCGACGAGGTACAAAACGAGGAGAGAATAACAATGGCAAAAGTAGGTTTCGATGTCCCTTCGGAGCAAAACAAGTCAGTAGATAAGTCGTCAAAAAAGCCATTTCAACCGTCATCAAATTCGAAGAAAAACATAGCAACGGCGGCCGGTCTACTTGCCACAGAGGAGAGCAAAGCCAACGTTTGCATTTTTTGTCAAGGTACGCACAGCAACGTGGAATGCGAAAAAGCCAAACAAATGTCTTTCGACGTAAGACAATTCATTGCGAGAGAACATCGAGTATGTTACGTGTGTCTAAAACCTAACCACGCTGCGAAGTATTGCAAGTCAAAGGTCAAGTGTGCGTGGTGCAGTCGCAGGCACGTATTGTTGATGTGTAAGCAAGTTATGAATCGTGATAAGGCGCAGAGCAGCAGCAACGAAGCAGAAAAGGTAGTCGATAAGTTGACAGTATCATGCAATAATATATCACTCGACACAGACGTGCATTTGATGACACTGCAAGTTAAATTACGCGGCCCAGATAATGAAATTGTGGTGCGCGCTTTAATAGATCCTGGCTCGCATAGAACATATGTACTTGAGGACTTGGCAAAGAGGTTAGGTCTTGTAAAAGTAAACGAACAGACTATGGTACATTTGTTGTTTGGTGGCACAGAGACGAGCCCTCGTCTGCATACAGAATATAAGCTAGTGGTCAGTAATTTGAATGACAAATATGAGTTATATCACTGCTTATGATGAGAAGAGAATCTGTCGTGATCTTCCAGCAGTAAAAGGGGACAAGTGGTGTCAGTCGTTGAGTGATGCTGGCGTTTACGTACATGATAACGTCAGTGAGCCTATTTCTCTATTGATTGGAGCTGATATAGCAGGACGTCTGTACACAGGAAAAATACACCAAACAGAGCAAGGTCCTACTGCTTCAGAAACAAAATTAGGCTGGGTGCTGCTTGGAAAAGACAGCACAAGTGAACAAAGTTCTCATACCGATGCAACGTTGGCTGTTTTCACCATGTTTAGTGAAAATGCAAAAATAACTGATCTCTGGGATCTTGACGTACTAGGAATTAGGGATCCTGTTGAGACATTGTCCAAAGAAGCTCATCAAGCCAAGGTTGTGAGACAATTTCAAGAGACTACAAGACTCAACGAGGAGGGGAGGTACGAGGTTCACTTACCATGGAAGGAAAACCACCCACCTTTGAGCAACAACAGAGCTAGCGTAGAGAAGCGCCTAGTGAGACTGACGTCAAAACTACATGATGAGCATTTGTACGATGACTACCAGGCAGTATTTGATAGCTGGTTAAGCGATGGCATAATAGAACAAATATCTGTCAACGAGATAGAAAATTCAGGGTACTATTTGCCACATAGGCATGTAGTGAAAGAAAACAGCTCAACACGCATACGTCTAGTCTTCGATGCATCTGCAAGCTGCAATGATGGACCTTCTCTAAACCAATGCTTAGAAACTGGACCTAATTTGATAGAACTCATAACAAACATACTCTTGCGTTTTATGAGGAACAAGATAGGCGTAGCAGCCGACATTAAAAAGGCTTTTTTGCAAATAGAAGTAACTCCAGCAGACAGAGACGTCTTAAAATTTCTGTGGTGGAAAAGGGACAGTCCACATGAAATGATTGTTTACAGACATCGACGAGTAGTATTCGGTGTGAACGGTAGCCCTTTTCTGTTGGGAGCTACTATAGAACTTCATTTGGACAGTGCTTTGAAGAATTCCGTTTCTAACGAGGAAGAAGAAATTATCAAGAAACTCAAGAAATCCTTTTATGTCGACAACTGTGTTGCAAGTGTTCAATCGCCTGAAGAAGAGTCGAAATTTCGAAGCACGGCCACCGAAGTTATGCTGCGTGCTTTTGATCTACGAGGCTGGGAACGTACACACGATGACGCAGAAAAATCGAAGAGTTCTATTTTAGGTCTCATTTGGGACAAAAGAAACGATTGTTTATTAATAAATGCATGTTTTACAGGTGAAATAAAACAGCCACTGAAAAAAAAAAAAATATTGTCCACCGCACACAAGATCTTTGATCCACTGGGCTGGGCTTGTCCGACTTTGCTGTGTCCAAAGTTACTGCTACAACAATTGTGGAGTAAAAATCTCGCTTGGGACACAGAGGTGCCGCATGAAGTGGCAATGGAATTCACCAAATGGCAGTCTCAACTTTCCCGGCTTGCTGAACTCAAAATTAAACGCTGGATTTTTGAAGGTGTGCAAGAAAATAGCGCCCAGTTGCATATGTTTGTCGACGCTAGTAAATATGCCTACGCCGCTGCTCTGTTCATAAGAATACCGACATCGCAAGGCGACGCTAATGTACATTTAATACAAGCAAAAGCACGAGTGGCACCGACTAAGAAAGTATCTATTCCACGCATGGAAATATTGGCTGCGACACTCGGAGCGAGATTGATGAGTACTGCGCGAAAAACGTTGGAGCTTTTGCAAGCACAAGAGTTCTTTTGGAGCGACTCCACTACGACGCTGTCATGGATTACAAGAAATAAGCAGAGGTCGAGATTAATTTTGAACAGAGTGCAAGAAATCAGAGAGCTCACTGATGTTGCGGCGTGGCGTCATGTACCTGGCGAGTTAAATCCTGCGGACCTCCCCTCGCGTGGCTGTTCTGTGTCTCAACTTGTCGAATCGCAATGGTGGAATGGACCAGCTTGGTTAAAGCTTGCAGAATCGGAGTGACCTTGCGAAGCACTCACAGCCAACGAGGAGCTAGTAAATTCTGAGCTGAGCAAAAGTGGGAAAAAGGTGACCGATACTGTAGTTGGTTCCGAAGTGGATTGCGTTGCAAACTGTACAAATATTTCATCAAAACCAGATGAGTCGCCTTGGTATTTAAGAAGATTTTCGAAATACAACCAAGTCGTTCGTATGCTAGCGTGGATGTTACGTTTCAAACATAATTCGCGATCAAGTGAGCAAGATCGACGAAAGGGAAACATTCACGCAGAAGAATATGAGCTTGCAGAAAAAACGTTATTCCGATTGTCACAAAAGGAGTCAGCATTGAAAGCATCGGATGCGCGACTAAAAAATTTAAATTTAAATGTGTACGTCGATGAGCAAGGGTTATTGAGAAGCAAAAGCCTTGTCAGCAACCGTGACGATAGTTATGGATTCCGATTTCCCGTGCTTTTGGACCCAAAACCCCCTCTGGTAAAGTTATTCATCGAACACACGCACATCCAATTGAAGCATGCCGGAATCAGCACGACAATCGCAGCCTTGAGAGAGACGACGTGGATTTTGACGTGCCGAAGAGTCGTGCGCGCAGTGATCAACAGTTGTGTTGTTTGTCGTCGCCATACTGCCAAGGTTCTCCAGACGCCACCAGCGTGCTTACCGGAGCATCGCGTGCGTGATGCTGATATGTTCGAGTTCGTCGGAATAGACTATGCGGGGCCCTTATACTTAAAGGATGGAATAAAAGCTTGGGTATGTCTTTTCACCTGTGCCGTATACCGGGCTGTCCACTTAGAGTTGGTATCCACATTAAGCACTGATGGATTCTTTGAAGCACTCAGACGTTTCATAGCACGTCGACGTCGGCCACGAGAAATTTGCGTCGACAATGGGACTAATTTTGTTGGTGCGTCGAACATGCTGGCAAAAATAAATTGGGAAAAATTTAAGTCACTTGTAGCGACGAGCCAGATCAAATGGAAATTCAACCCCCCATCCGCACCATGGTGGGGTGGATGGTGGGAGCGCCTAATCAGAATCATAAAGGATTTATTAAAAAGGACCCTCAAAAAGACGCACGTCTCATTCGAAGAAATGAGCACTATTCTATGTGAATGTGAAGCAATTGTAAACTCTCGACCAATATCTCAGGACGACGAACAATTAATAGCCATTTCACCCGGGCTGTTGCTCAAAGGAACAGAGTTTGAAGGTGCACCTGATCTCGACCATTTGGAAAATATATCGCTTGGTCGTCACATGAGATATCGGCAACGGCTACGACAAGAGTTGAGACGTCGCTTCCGAGACGAGTACCTGGGCCAACTCGCGAGGCACTCCAAAACGACACACAATCTTGCAACTGTGAAGCCTGGAGATGTTGTGCTTGTGGCCAGCGACAATCAAAAACGGCTGAATTGGCCACTCGCTCGGGTGACCGACATCGTGCCCGGTAAGGACGGTGTGCCACGAATCGCAAGATTGAGGACGGCCAATAGCAAATTGATTCGACCTCTACAACGATTAATATTGCTGGAAAGCTCTCCGTTTGTCATGGTTAATGACTCAATGCAAGATAAGATACAAGATGCTGAGTCGGATAATCATAGGAAGGACGAAATCGACGTCGAAGATTCCCCGTTGAAGGAGCCTGTCCAGAATAAATCTACTTCACTTCAAGAAAGGATTCACTTCAAGGAAGATTAATCAAGATGCCAAATAGATATAATTAATTTCTTATTATTCATTCACGTTTATTTTTCGTAAGCTTAAGTCTTATTAATTTTGTAATCTGTGTTGGAAAATTCCCATTTTCTCAAGGTGGGAGGATGTTCAAGATTCTAAGATTAGACAGCAGTCAAATTTTCGCGCCTAGTATGTTATATCAGAATTTTTGTACGCTTGATTATTCCGGCGCTGCGGTGGCGACCGAGCGCTGCTTTACTTTGCTTTGAGCCGCGACCGACGCAACATTGTACGGAATTCACATTGATACAAGTTTTGTTCTCCACGCATAATAATACGTTTTCTTCAATGAATTGTCTCATATAATTAAAAGGGTGCCATCGTTTTTTGTTTTACCCTCATCATTTGTCTAGAAACGCAACACGTATTGTTCTCACTATCGCACGCGATCAGTTTGGTATCGTGTGTCGATCTGTGTGTACAGTTTTGTGTATCGTCAATATGGTGTTGAAATTTGTGACAAGTCAGCGAAATAAGCAGCTACTGCTGCACAATAATTATCTGTATAATATGCAATCTTGCTTGGACGCCAAAGTTATATGGCGTTGTATTGCATACACCCGTTCCGTCAAGTGCATGTGCAGAGTACATACTAGTACTGCCGATAAACATGGTGTTATTTTGTGGGAGAGTGATTTTGATCATACTCACATAGTTGAAGTCGCTGAAATAAATGCACTCAAAGTGAAGGAAAAATTAAGAAGGATGCGCTAAAATCTTCAGACAATCCATCAAATATTATTAATAAACGTGCACATAACATTCATGCTTCTACGTCTTTTCTTCTGCTGAATTCAAAGTCATTGTGCCGTACGATTCAGCGTGAGCGTATTAAAGTATTAAATGCCCCAGCTTTGCCTACAAGTGCTATCGAATTGAGAGTGCCCGATATGTTTACAAACACTATACGCGGTGATACGTTTTTGCTGGATGATTACGTCGCTCAAGACGTTCGCGCGCTAACTTTTACCACGGCTGCTAATTTGAAAATTTTACGACATTGCGATATTTGGCAAGGAGATGGCACTTTCGACGTTGTTCCTGTCATTTTCGATCAGTTATATACCATACACGGCCAATACAAGGAACACTTGATACCGCTCGTCTACGTACTAAGCACTCATCGCGCTACCGATGTATATAAACATGTGTTACAGGCATTGCTTAATTCTTGCCGAAGATTACAGCCTACTCGAATGATCATTGATTTTGAACAGTCTTACATAAGTGCATTTAGTGATGTTTTCCCTGATGCGACCATACACGGGTGCTTCTTTCCTTTTACCCAATGCATTTGGCGCCACATTCAAAAATTCAACTTACAAATTAAATATCAAAGTGATGAAGAGTTTGCCCTACAAATTCGTCATTTAATTGCTCTTGCCTTTGTGCCCACTGCCGATGTTCCATTTGCCTATGCAAAATTGATCAAGACCTCTTACTACAAAATTAATGCCGCTGACCTCAAAAAGTTTCTTTCTTACTTTGAAAAAACATGGATTGGTCATACAAACGGCCGCACAAAGATATTACCTTTGTATCCTCCAACGCTGTGGAACAATTATGACATAGTGTTGACCGATAATAATCGTACCAATAACGGTGTTGAGGCATGGCACCGTGGTTTCAGTCACTAGATGCACAAGAGCCACGAGACGATTTGGAAATTTCTCAAATGCATTCAAGTCGAGCAGGGCATGCAGGAAAATGTTGTAAGTGACATTTAGTGTGGCAAGGTTGTGCGTAAGCGTAAACTTCGTTCGATAGAATTTGATGAGAATTTGCTAACTCTAGTAACTTCATACAAGAAAAATAATGTTTTGATTTATTTACGTTCCATATCTGTATGCGTTTTTTTCCTCTCGTCTAAGAGATCAGGTTAACTCTGTCTTTGTTTTTTTTGTTTCATTGTACTAATGCTACTGTTTGTTAAATTGTTTTTACGCATTGCTTATTGCGTCTTAATAAATCGTTCTTTTCTTTACCGTTCATTGCGTCTTTTTTTTTACGGTCATTATAAAAATTTTTTTTTTCTGGATGAACTGTCGCGACGGCAAAATGTCGTAAGATGATTTGTCCAAAACATGAATTGTCGAAGTTGAGTTGTCGGGATGAGTTGTCCAAAAGATTTAAAGTCGGTTACCCGTGGGCGACCTGGCTCGTCAGATCGAGGCGATCATCGAGAAGATGGATCTGGATCAAGTTATCGCCGTTTTGGACGCCCACAGGTTGGCTAGAGTCGGGACAGAGATGTCAGTGCGGAGCCGACTATTTCGCTCGGAGATACGGGCCATTCAGCCTGAAGCATTTCCACCCTGGTCCCCGGTGGAGGACGAAATCCTGGGGGTATCTCCTCTCGACACACTCCAGTACCAGTTGTTGATTCCTCAGTGTCGACCGTCTTTACGAATGGACCAGCCGACTGGCCCAGACCCCGAGGACGGCGGGGTGGACACGAAGGCCGTGATGCCGCCCCCGTCAATTCCGTGCGTGGTATCTTCGAGCACGCCCACAACAACGAGTTCACAAGCGATCTATACGACTCCTCCCACCCAGCACATGTCCAGCACAGCTCCGAGAGTAGTGAGTACGTGGAACAGTTCGACCACGACCTCCTCTGCGCCACTTACGATGGCCTCATCCATGGGGCTGGCTCAATAGTTAGCAGGGCTGAGCTTCAACAAACGAGACAGCATTTGGCCACAGAGTTCAGGGGCCGTCGGACAAGGCTCATCACGCTACGATCTCCCACAGTTGGGCCCTGGATTAAGGACTTGGCCTAGCAATCCTACCTAAACGCCGTCGGGAACTCGGCTGAAAGAAAACAATCCCAGAGCCACAGTCCAGAGAAATTGCGAGCGAAGAACGAGGATGAAGAAACTGAACGAAGAGTCAAGGTGGAAGCCCGAAGATCAGGTAGAAAAGATGAAGATCGGGCGAATCGCCAGAAGAATTGGGAACGGGCAGACGATCGAGAATCGGAGCCCGAGACAGAAGATGACGAAGAGTCGAACAGACGAAAAATGGGTCTTCAGAGGACTGGCCGGTCGATTTTGGGCCGAAGAAACCAAAGGAACGACCGAGACGCGTCTTATGAACGCCAAGAACGATCGCCTGATCGGGCTCCGAGCTCACCCACCCGAATGACGGGTCTACAGGTCACGAAAGTCCTGCAGAGTTGGCATTTGTCGTTCGATGGCGAGAATCGGAAGGAAGCCCGGAATTTTCTTGAAAATGTGCGGGATTGCAAAGAGAGCAATGACATCCCCACTGATAAGCTCCTGAACGCAATGCCCGCTATTCTCAAGGGCAAGGCTCAACGATGGTTCTGGGAGAATAAACGAGATTTCACGACCTGGGTCCAATTTCGGAAGGCCTTCGAGGACCGATACATGAAAGTGCTCCGAGACACGACGATTCGGCGAGATATTGATCACCGCACCCAGGCGAAAAGTGAGAAGATTGCCGATTACGCAGACTGTTTTCTGCAACTGGTCAGATATTTAAGGCAACGCCCGCGGGACGAGGAACTGGTAGAAATGTTCCTGCAAAATGTGGGAAATGGATATCGGCGCTTCATAGCCCCTCATCGACCATGGACGATCGCCGAAGCCGTAGAGTTGGGTCAAGAATGCGAACGGATCCTCGAGGACGAGGAAAAGTTCGAAGAGCCATCCGCCAGCTACAAGCTCAGCATCCCGGAGGCCGGGTTTTCTTCAAGGAAAGTGGGCAAGATAGCAGCCATAACCGAAATCGACGACTTCAGCGAAAATGAAGAGTCCGACAAAGCCGATAACAGCACACCCAAGAACGGGCCGAAGCCCAATGGGCCGAATCAGAAGAAAGGTGGCAAGAAAGCACCGAAGAAGACGCCCGACCAGGACCAGCAGAGTCCAAGTCCAACCAGGCCTATAGTGAACTTCGCTCAGGGCCAGTGGCAGCAAGCCGTAAGGCCTGAAGACTGGAATCAATACGAGATGTGCCCATTTCAGCCTTACGCCCAAAGACCGGGTCAAGTATCTCCTGCGGTCCCACCCTCGATAAATTGGCCAATGCCACCACCACCGATGCCACAGTGGCCACCCCAACTTCCTAATCAAGGGGGCGGGAAGGGGGGGGGGGGTCAAAACCAATGGACCCAGACTAGAAAGTTGCCAGCGGAGATGGCTCCGGCAGCCGCCAATCAAAATAACCAAGACAATCGACCGCCCAAAGGGAAATTTGCTAGACCTTGTTTCCACTGCCAGACACCAGGACATCGTGCAGCATACTGTCCTGCGATAACGTGCAAGACGTGCGGCCAACAAGGGCGTAGCAAGAAAGTCTGCCCACACAATGCACAGCAGCGGCCCCAGGCGGAGCAGAAAGAGCCTTTAAAGCAATGCATGGGCTGTCATGCACAAGGAGTTTTGTTGTGGACATGCCCAAAATGCGCACCTGTGTTGCAAGCGCTGGGAAACGGATTGGCGGGACCGCTGGCGCGCCAGCAACAGTCCCAGATGTAACAACAGAGGCCCGCGAAGAAATCGAAGGGGAGAGCGACGAAGAAGATCTTTTAGAACATGTGTTTTGGATACTCGAAGAGAACGACGAGGCAGCAGAAGATGTGACTTGGAAGTCAGATTTAACGGAGCATGAAGACCAAGCCCAAGAGACCTATTGGTCGAAGGTAGGGCCTGAAGAATTCTCAAGGCAGCAGATGAGTCAGCTTATTGCACAGAATGTTGCGAGGATGGTCGAGGAAAATGCTCAGATAGCTCTGGAGGCACTGCCATCACGGGAGTCAACTGAAGACGGGCAAGATCGGCGGGTGGAGTTGGACGAGGGCGAAGAACAACTTTGGTTTGAGTTGAGGCCCAGGATAGATCAGCCCACCTCAACAGCTGCTCCAGCGGGCGAGAACGACCCAAAGATCCCGGACATCGCAGGAATTTGCCAAGAAAATCGTCACTATGCCAAGT